TCTTGAAAAAATCCTCGAGCAAAGATTTCATGCTTTTTTCTTCATCCTTCTTTGCAATTAGTTCAGTGAAAGGAAGAGACACTAAAGCCGTTATGTCCTTGTTGGATTTTCTTTCAGCCCAATCAATCATGAACATTCTTGTCTGGAATGTTTTGCCAATACCTGGGACTCCTTTCATGAGCACTGTTCTAGTTTTATTTTCAGAAAACAATTTACTGTATTTGACTTGGCTCCATTTCTCTTTATCATCAAATATCCCAATTTCAGAGAGTTTTTGGTCATTTTTATATCGACTCAGCTCCTCAAGAATAACTTTCTTCAGGTCATCACTTCCCTTAGTATTGTCTCCTGTCATTGAAAAATACATGATAAATGCACATCAAAAATAAGAATAACTTTTATAAATAGTTACATTTTAAAGAAATCCTATTGTAAAAAAATTATTTTTAGAAATAATCTGTATTTCTTCTTGGCAACAAGCTTAACTCAGCCTGGCATAAGATTCACTGAGCAAATTAATATATTTACCACATGAATTACATTTCTGTCATCAAAAAAAATAATACTGTCAGATCCTGAAGTAATGAGACATTGTGAATATTGATTATAGTACCACGGAATTTATGTTACTTCCACAGTTATACTACCTAATGAATATTTTCCTCTATTTTAGACATTGCAACATATGATAAATGTATTACAGCAGATAAGACACCAACTAATGAATACTATCCCACAAAACCCTAATTGGAAATCGATTAAGAAGGAAAAAAAGAAATTATAACAAACCAGGTAATTAGAAATTGAAATTTGATGTTAACATTTCTTTTTTATATCTGGTAAAAACGGTGAATAACAAAGGGATATACCTATAATTATGTTAGAGCCTCCTTGTTTGAACAAAAGTTTTTTTTGTTTTAATGATTATTTCTGCTGAGCTACAGTATTCAAAGATCAAGTGAAAATACAGTAATAAATATGCATTTCCTTGATGTTGATACTGATTTCACATAGTTTATTTTAAAAGATTGATAACATTATACACCTTTTACTCTGCATGTTTTTTTTCTTTCTTTCCATACTAATTACCATACAGCTTTAAATTTTGTCTATAGGATAACAGAATTTTTTAATAGAAAATCAATTTTTTTTAAGGAGCTGTTTTACCAAACAGTGCACCCCCCCC